CTGGTATATATTTTCAGTTTAAAGGCTTCAACTGGTAACATTCGATATTTCCTGTAACGAGAAACAAGTATACTTCCAGGAGTTAATTGTAAGAATGGTTTCTCCTACAACGGACAATGCATCTGTTATCCTGGTTACGAAGGTCTTACGTGAGTTCATGAAGCGCTTACAGAACCATAACTCAGTGAGAATGAGAGGCGTTACCTCCCAGTCGCGGCAAAATTTGGAGCTGCAAGCGAGGTGATGTGAGCAGCGTCCGCACTAGAACCAAACCCACTCAGCAGTAGTCGCGCTGCGCTTCCACTCTATCTCCCAAGTCAACTCGTACTGCGATGCAAATACTGGGAAGTAACGTCACACCCATTAGCTGAGATTTCTGAATGCGCCGCTTCTTGCGAGGTCGCAGAAACCTCAAAATTGGTACGAACTTACCTGCTTGACCATTTTCTAATACCACAGAATATCGGTGCAGCTCGAACGTCCGAGGGAGATTGTCAGAAAGAAAAAAGACATGGGAGGAGATGTCACCCCTTGATCCTGCTCTGCTGGTCCCCTGACCTTGTTTTGCATTCAACCATTTAATTATCCGCTCAGAAGTTAAAGGCACGGTTCACGATAAAAAGCCTAGGTGATGTTGCAGAAATGTGGAAGAAAATTGGCCAAGTGAACCGTTTATGAAGAAAATGAAAAGGGAACGTTGGAAACGCATTCTTCAGGCCTCCTCTAGCCTCAAACAACTGTAGAGGTAAAAGACCGAAAAGACCGCGCGCTGGGACAATTCCCGTCGGCTGATTCCCAGTAATGAACCCTATGACTCTACAAGAGACACTGAATGCATCCACTCCATGATACTTGCCCGGGAGCATTACTTTTGGCTGGAAGGCCGACTTTGGAGGCGGAGTCACTGGAAAAAGGGATGTACCACTGAAGCAACTTTGCGCCTTAATTCCTTTACCGTACAACTTTCCGCCGCGAAACTGGCACAGGGTTGTCCACTCCGGACCGCACTACCTTCCCACATAACCTTCTTGCATAACTTCTTGCATTTTCATAGGTCATCGCGGACCGCTCCTTCAAGGGTTGCATGCACACATCGGCTCGAGCACCTGCCTTTCGAACGGCAAGTTCATGAGCTACCCAATCTCCAAGTTTTGAGAATTCCTCAGGACGATGCAGGTGGCGAACGATGGTGTGGTAATCACGTCCAGGGAAGCTTCCATTTCCAAGCATTGTCTGTCAAGATTGGTTTTCCAGTGAGTCCCAGAAGAGGAGGACTCATCGACCTCCACTTGTGTTTAGCGATGTTCTTGAACTCCCCAAACTAATTCACCGCGGTGAAGTAGGAGATCATTCCCTCACCAAGCAAAGTGTGCATGCTTCCAGACACGGCACTAGCTTTTGGTCCATGGGATACCTGCATAAAGCAAGGGGATATGAACATGTCTACACTTGGGCCTAATGTTCTGCGTCGTAACTGCAGAAAATTCCAAGAATGACAACGCTTCCAAGTGCATTCCAAGTCCTATTTGTATACCTCTTGATAAAAATTTGAAGGGTTCCGGGAAATCTAGGATGGAGCTCAAATAAATTCACGTCATTTATTTACGTGCATTTCGAGGGTGATAAAGGGGGAGGGGGGTTCCCAGAAGTGGTCTCACGTTTTCGCTCAGTTGTTGTTTTTGGAGGATTGGAATAGTTGTAGAGTTTTCGTACACGCTCTACTCCACCATGCGCCTCATTGTTTTCAGCGGTTCCGAAGTCATATCGGAAGGTTGGAGAGAAATCCAAGGGTACTCCAAGGGTACTAGAAGAATTAACAATTGCTAGAATCTTACGCCCAAATGTCAGAATTCAAACAGAACAGTTATGGGTAGATGAGGTGATAAAGAGTTACTGGTTTTACAGATGTGAAACGCCAATTTGCCAGAACTTTGGCTATGTCTTATCGACTACACCGGAACATTTTGCGAACTGCGTAAGCATTTCAACTCATTGTAAACCTTTTCATAGCGGTGAAAGCTTCCGCCACAGATTCCCAAAGGCACATTACAGACAGACGCTTGGGCGCAAACTGTCAGCCGATTTTCTGTCCGATTTTTCGATTCAGATTTGGTTTGAAAAGTGTCCATTTTCGTTTGTAAAAAGTCCGATTTGGTTTGAACAAAGCCGTTTTGGTTCGAAAAGTGTCCGATTTGGTTTGAAAAGGGTCCAATTCGATTCGACCAAAAAAGTATAAGCTTGGTATAAAGATTTCGGAGTATCGGGTACCTTTCCACTAAAATCCAGATGAATAGTTCTCTACATATTATAGTGATACGGTTTAAAATCCCATACGTCTGTGCCATTACTTGGACCTGAAGGCGAATCCTTCATAATGGAGTGAGTGGAGGAAAAAAGTGGAGAATCGTGAAAATCTTCCTTGTGCATTTGCCATTGCTTCCAATGTGAGAGAAGTGTTGCATCAATCAAGAAGGCAAAAGTTGAAGGTTATGAGTCTACGCTTATTCGATTTCAATCGCGAACGTGCCTCTAAGAGAACACAGCATAGTGGATTGCATAGTATTCAATACGGTAACGAGTCTACATATGCATGCATAAAATATACAAATAGATATATGCGGAGAACTGACTCACCCCTTAAAGACAGCTCCCGCGATAAAAGTGTCATGGATAGTTGATGTTCAATTATGAAACAGTAGCTGATAAGTAATTCCCCAAAAAGAAAAAAAGCAAGAAGAGTCCTCAAGAACACCATAAACAAAATCGCTCCCTGACAGTCACACCTCCTGCGGTCTCTGTGCAACCCCTGGCTCACAAATCACTTTATCACATCTCCCAGTAGTGGATATCATCGAATGCGAAGAAAAGAAAAAACAACAAAAACATAGAGGAAAAACTCTTGAAAAGAAAAAGAAACATTTAAAAAGCCGGCGTCCGAATTTAGGGTTACGGTAGCGTGCATATTTTAGTGTGTGAAGTGCGTCGAGCTTTTGCACCACGAAAATTGGGTCGCTCGTGATTTTTACGCGTTTTACCTTGCGAGATGTGTTGGAGTTGACTGTATGTGCTCCTGATTAATAAAATGTAATAAAGGAGAGCAGAATCATTCATGGGCATGAGCGCTGTCAGCGAAAAGGACATGCAATTCCGATTAATGCCCGCCGCCCCAACAAAGAACAACTGAGCTGCCCTCCGTCGGAGGGCATCTAGCAAGTGGGCGGTCCAACTGAGCGGGCGTTAGAACTAGAACTTTCAGCGGCTGTAGCTCGCTCCTCGCTCGCTGTGGAGTCGCGAGAGTGGGATAGTCTCTAGCTTGGGGGCTGTACTACTTGCACAAGGAAGGACGACCATGTACTACTTGAGCGCGGGGGCTGTCTTGAGTGTGCGCTGAAGTTATGCCATGTCACTGGTAACACTCTACTATTTACAGCGGTTTGCACGCAGAAGTACGATGCCACGTTTACGGACACAGGTTCGTTTCGCTGTTTTCTATTAGTTTTCCACATTATTCGCTCCATCGTGAATTTAGGGAAGACGAATATCGTGATAATGCTCGAGAGACCTCGTACAACATGGGTAGCACCATCTTCCAAATGAAGAAAAATCTCAAAACTGCATTGGACAGCATACAGAATGATACCACAACAAAGGGATGGTTCAGCAAATTCATACTCTATATCCGTTTGACGTCTAAGTAAGATTGTCCTCTTGAGACCGAACTGCAACACTTTACAAGACAAGTTGGTGCGACACTCTTCGCCGCGGATCTGGTCTTGGCCACTAAAAGCAACTATTTCCGCTAGATGCATCAGGTGCATACTTTTCTTGCCAGTCAACAAGTGCACAGGGTGGGGCATAGGGAGTGGTACTAAACCGCGTCTCACATAGCTGCGGGTCGCGTTTTAAAATGATCAGCGCTTACGTCAATACAAAGAGCCAAGATGCCGGCAAGCACGAACACGTACTAGCGGTAGAAATAACCAGCAAGTGGAAGGAAGAGGAGAAGTGGAAAGCTTAACTTGGTAACGGCGTGTGGTGGCCGACGTGCGGCAGCCCAGCGGCTGAAGTCGGAAGAACGGCGCCGGGATACTTGCTCTCTAGGCCACATCCAGTGGCACATTCTGAAACGTAGAAGTGACACGTTACTGCGTAACCGGACTCCCTTCACTCGCCCATGAACGGCGAGAGCCAGAATCCGTTGAGGTGGGAGTTCAGTTCGTCCTTACTTGCACTCATCAGGAATAAGCAGTGTGCACGGTAAATCTTCAAGACGTGCAGGATTAATATCCCTAGCAGGACAGAATTCGGCACTATTGAGCAAGAGCTGTGTGGCGCCTTTTCCAAGGAATGTACCCTTATAGCGCCCTATCACGCTGCAATATACCGAACCAAACGCTCCACGCGCCGCCCGCCCGCACTCGACCGATCCTGATGCTCGCTGCATCGCTTCATTTGCGAAGTACAATATGAAGCGAAGGGATTGATATGAAGCGGCTGCGGTGCTGCATGGATATATGAGTACATACATGCAGCCGTATCTACCGTAGCGGTATGGCATGATGCCAATAGGGAACTCGTCCGAAATGGCTTTCTAAGGCGTGTAGAAAGAGGCTTTTATCGCGGATTTTCAACCGTTCCACTCCAATTTTTGCCATGTTCCCACTAATTGCACCCCTGTTACCATTTCAGATAGAGTACCAAATTAACGTGCGACTGCCTTTGAGAGGATGGGGGCATTGTCTAGTGGAGAATTCTTTGATTGCTTATTCCCCCTTTAGCGCTGAATTCCTTGTCCGTGGCATCATGTTTGCCATGCCTGACAGTTGGCCAAACCCGAAACTAGATAGAGACTGTATTCTAAACTCTCTCGTCGTTGGTGTTCTCTGCTTCAGAATTGTGGGATTTAATAGAAGTACACGCTGTGCCGCTAGTTTTGGGTGATTGCTAGCCGTATTCATGACTGCTGATTGCGGAGTCAACACTAGCGACATTCATTCCCTCAGCTTTCCAGTAAACTTCAACATTCTAACCTTAACTATGGTTTGCTACTAATTTCACTTAACTATGTTACAGTTCCTTTATAGTATTTCAAAACACAGATTTCAGCTTCCAATCAGCAATACTGGTATCCACCTGTGATCTCGACCAACTCCGATGATATTGTTGCCGCTGTGATGAACATCACTACAATGTCTTGCCCTGGTCCCGATGGATGCTCACCAAGTACGATTTTGAAGCTATTGACCCCTTATCTTTTTTTCGCATGAAGGGGTCTTTTTAGGAGCCATGATCCCATAGTCTGCTGACTTATGACCCCATGTTTTGCTAGCAGGGTTCACTGCCAAAAGATACTAGGGTCATGGAGCAAGAGAGGGTACTTCTGCAGAGACACAGGTAGCGATAGAATTCTGAATGGAATGAGCGCGAGCAGACCTGGGACGATGAACCATTGAAAAAACGCCTCGCCATTGCCCAGCACTTCCTTGAGCGTCGTTTCCGTGGTCCCCTTCCCCCATCTCCAGCTCTCCGCTAGCTCTCCTGCGAAACCATTTTTCTTGGCAAGAATACAGTGTGGTAAACTCGAAGTAAGTTCAGTAAGAGATATATTGCAATTATGATGCCTTCCTACACGTATTCAAATGGGAGCTTCCTACATATCGCAGACGGTTCATCCCTTATGTCTCTGCTATTAGTGGACCTAGCGGCACATCCCTCAATAATCCGATGGGTAGAGAAGAAGGCACTGACTTCTTCACACCATCACACCCTTTCTTTTTGCTGACCATGCTTACTGCTTTTGAGGATTTTCTTTGGGCACCCAAACACTCGTCGCTTCACAGCTCAAAACGAGTTACCTTGGTCTGTAAAATTTTGCTTCGATCCCACCAGTTATTAGATGATCGGCATCCGAATAACATGCACGAAGCGTACGATGGATGTTTCAGATTGTCCTCGTCCGATAATGGCAACGCTGAAAAAAGTTCTCGCACTTCCCGATGTTGTTAGCCCGAACTCAGTTGTTCTTGTTGTATCACGCTCATCACCTGAGGATTACCCGCTGGTCAACGGCATGATCCAAACCCTGATTGACAGTAAAGTTCAGGTTAGTGACTTGAAGTTAATCACATTTCTTGATTGAACATACAGCCGCAATTGTTGACACCTTCTTTACTCGGCCGGCATTTCGGGGCTATTGCCTCCTTCAAAGCTCAGAAAGTCGGGAGTACCTCGGGAAGCCCCTTATCCGAACACTATTTCTTTCTCAAGGGTAAGTCAAAGAACCACAATTTCTACTTCCAAAACAATGCTACTGCTGTTCAAAACCAACACCTTTATAATTGTCGGCCGAGAAAGACGATTGAATGGCGTTCGAATGAAGGGCTTCTCAAATGCCATTCGACTTCTCAAAGCAACTAGTACTGTTTAGTGCGCATTCCGAGCTGATTGAATAGGCGGAGTTACAAGTGAATGCTCTCCTTGTTGATGAGCTACTTCTCGTCCAATGAGGAGGAGATCACCAATGGGGAATGCGCATATGCTCAAATGACTCCGGTTACAGATCATCGCAGAATATACAATGCACATCCTAGCGATGGAGTGGGCGTGGCTGCGCACTCCATCGCTGGGATGTGTTGGTCTTGGGACGTTTCTACAAGTGTTGCCCTTCTTGTTCTGGATGAAGTAGTGGTGGCAGTCGTTCTGAAACTGCAATATCCTCTAGGCGCAGCTACCGCCGTTCAGCTGAAGTACGCAGCCACGGACTCTCCACCTCCGGGGGTATGGGAAAGACCTTTAAGTTAGCAGCTAGTTGAAGGTATACTCCGCTACAGTCAGATGGCCGAAAACACATAACTACTGTACCTTACTCGTAAGCGCGCCCTCCTCTCTACTCTATCAAATGGAGGACGCGCCATGCTGGGCACATTATTGGGGTGTGGAGGGCAAATGGCACAGGTGGGGCAAATGTGTCAATTGTCGAGGGCAAATGAATGCTACACTATTTCTCGGCCCATAATATGACTTTGCACAACGACCACGGACGGTCGCCAGTGTAAAGCGCAAATGCCATAAGCCCTTTTGATTACCGCGGAAAGTGTCTCTGGAAATATCATGTCTGCAGATTCAATTTTTTTTGTGGAGCTCACAGAATCACCATTTTACTATCTATTCAAGATTAACTTCGTGCTTCCTGCAATCACGTCGCCTTGTGGTGAAGGCTGGAACACGCCTGAGGCAAACGCCATGTATACAGCTACCAGTTACAGTGATGGCAGTGTCTTTGTTGTAAGGATTTCTTCTACCAGTAAGCGTGGGAAGAAGAGCCTGCTGTTCTAGTTCAAAGTATATTCAGATGTCTCCTGTTGATTTTGCTGTGAACTTCCTTCAAAAGTATGTTCCATCTCTGTACAGATCAGCTGGGCTCGAATACGGTAGTACTATGAATTGCACATATCAGGAATATCTGTTCCAGGTTACTTTTTCATTATTGCTGCTGAAAAGTTACTACCGATGGCTATGTTTATTTTAGGTTGAGCACTCTCAGTATGAATTCACAGTTGAGTACTACCATCCTATCATTAATCCGGCAGTAGTGATCACTTTAACGGATCCGGCAGGTACGTGAGGGCCACGGTTCACTTTACTGGAAGGATAAGGTCCAAAAATCATATTACTGTCTAACCATACTGGTTATGAGGCTGCTTCTCTGGTAGCTGTTCTAACAGGTCATCTCCTTTGAACAGCTAACGTGGGCACTCACGAACGGGGTCGCTGCAGGTGCGCTAAAAATACCACGGACTTTTACGCGACGCCAACCCCTTTCCCTACAGCCATGAACCGACCAAAGCCGCCACGACCAATGAGAAGCGGTCTTGCGCCACGTCAAATCCTCTCCTGTTGACACGCCCTGACTGACTTCAGTGTTAACGACAGCAACTTGAATATCGGGCATAGAGTTTCGTCAAAAGACGACGTTGTTTTGCTTCTGCGCTCGCCCTCTGAACCTGGGTCAGGAAGAAAATTGTCCCTCTCCCTGTGCGATGCCAGATGGGGGTCACAAAGGCACATTCCATGAATGCAGCTTGTAGCCATGGGGTCTGAAAGGAAATGTCGGTTCCTAGCAAACTTGCTAGTGAGCAAGAGGACAGAACACCTCAATAAGCCCTTTCTTCTTGCGGCGGCGATGCACTGAAACGTATGGGAGAAGGACCAGAAAGCGACGAACGGGAGAGCACAACTGAATTATTGTGACGCCAACGAAGGCAGGCATCAGCATCCGGGGTCTATGTAATGAGCTTGCGGCCCGATCCCTGTGCACTTCTGGATTGCGAAAGGTCATGGACGGTTGCGATTTCTTCCCTACTTGGGGCACTGAACACCTTCGCCAATCGTGAAGTGTGCCTTTAATACGCCCTCCCCCCTATGAAATAAGAAGGTACAGCTCGAAGAGAACTGACAATGAGATGTAGACGAGGAAGTTGGACGTTCTGAAATACAGACCTTGAATGAAACTGAAGATTACATTCAACGATTAGTGGATCCGTGCTCACAAATACAGGCTTATTCGCTGCGGACGATGGGGCGTGTCAGGGCGGGGCGGGGGCTGGGTTCAGCGTGGCGCCAACAGTTTTCCACCAACTGAGACAGCTTGCCAGCTTCCCAGCTCCTTTAAACACCATAGCGTCCGCAGCGAGTAAGACTGCAAATGTTACTAAAGTGTGTACCGTAAACAGCAATTTTTTTCGTATTACTGCCAGAATAAAATACATTGCAGCTCTTTGTTTCGATTTGCAGAAAGTACAGCTCGTGTGATAAGCAGTAGTTTCAGGAGATTATATTCCTCTACCTCCGAATCTCGTCGCTAGCGATACTAATTATGTGGGAGTGCTACAGGTACCCCATTATTGTGTCCAATATGAAGCATATAAAAGAGTTTTCGCTTTGTAAAAAGTACACGAATATAAGTGCATTTTCATTAATTAACCGCGAAACGTGGCGTCGCGACTGCACGAGTCTTCTAATGAGCATGCTCTTTTTTGTGGAAAATTCTGCTGCCTGGACTGTTTTTTAGGTGAATGACACTGGTGTGGTCAGGGCTGGTACATATCGTTTGACGATGTCTGGAGGAGGAGGCGCTTACTGCAGTCTGAACGTTAGAGGTCGAGGAGCAATCGAGGTGCATATCGCTTTCTTCAGAGAGATATGAGCAGTTATGGAAAAAACAGATTTTATAGATATATCCAGCTTACGTCAAATCGTCAAGTGATTCGTATGGTGGGGCCACGACTGATAGCGCTCATTATGCACCTGTTCTAGGTAGGTTTTTGAAGGCACAGTCCACACTCGTCAAATGGGCGGAGTCGGGCCTATCACTAGCCTTCCTTGTTGACGCGCTGCTACTCTTCACTAAGAGCGCACCAATGAGAAGGGCCAGCGGTAGTTCCATTTTTGCCCGTATCACATTCATTCAACTCTTGTCCTCGTGTGCCTCCGTTTTCTGCATCATGATGTATTTTAAGATGAAAACAACACAATTGTCGTGCATGCTGATGGACTCGTCAATGGGAACGCTTACCTATGTCCAAGTTGTAGCACCTAGTGGTCTTGGATTGCAACATACTTCAGTCCTGCTTCCGCGAGACAGCCAGAAATGCTCCTATGAGTACTATGCACCTGTGCCGTTCTTCTGCAGTTACGAGGTAAGTACAGCTGTGATGTCCTGCCAGCACAGCCTGGGGAAATCAAAGTGGTGTTGTGACTCCCTTCTGCCGCCCACCGG